AACCCCAAAACCCCAAAACCCCAAAACCCCTGCCGATTTTATTGCTATATAAGGGTTGGTTGAAATAAAATAATCATTATTAAATATGAATAAACAAAGTAGTATTAATTGTTGAATAGAAAATGAATTACTAACCCTATTACGGTCGAGACTGCTTATCTTCATTTTGCAGGAGGCTCAATCAAGGTAGGGAATATTGGAAACTTCTAAGAGAAGGCGCTGTTACTTCCATGTAGGAAACAGATTTCTCTTAATTGTGATAGACTAAACAAATTATGATTGCATTTTAAGTTTGATTAGTAGTTAATATAAATGATCACTCAAAATACAAATTATCATAATAGAAGCCGAATCTCAAACCCTTTAATATATAGCCATTCAGTATAGACTGTATCATCAAGCAATAAATGATTTCTTCCTACTACCCATACTCTAATTGTTATTGGAACTACTCATGTTGTGATTGCTATGGCCATAAACCATTTTCTCCATCTTCTTGACCTTTTTTTTGAGATCAATATTTTCTTGCTTGGTTCTCTGAACCTCATCTTCTAAGTGCTGAATTTCATTATTGAGTATTCTATTCTCCTTATCGATCTCTTTATTGATTTGCTCAACCTTTATTCTTTCAGCTAGTACTGTGCTGTGTCCTTTCTAGTCATTCTCAAGTTATTTAGTGAGTCTGTCCATCTCTTTACATAGATTTTCAATTCTCTATTCAAATTCTTACTTCAAATCTATGTAATCTTGCTTTTTGTGTTCAAGATCTAATTCTACTCTCCTAAGCTATTCTCTGACCTCATTTTTCTACTATTGATACTCTGTTTTAATGGTATTGATGAGATTCTCATAGTCTCTTTTAAGATTTTACTTATCCTACTCTAATTTATCGCTAACCAATCTAATTTAATGCTAATGCTCTACCTTCTACTTGTCAATTAAAACCTAATAATGCTCAATCTATTGCTAAAATTAAATTAGCTGCTACGAGTTGAGACTTGAATTCTCTTTCATTTCCTTTTCCATAGTTTTATTCCCAATAGTTATTCTGTTTATTTAAGACTTCAAATCATTGATCTCTATGACCAAGGATTATATCTAATGATCTTTTTCTCTTAACTGCTCTGATGTCCTATCTTAGACTTAGCATTATTTCTAGCTCATTTAATGCTTCCTCAGCTCTGCATCATGCTGAAGTTTAAGTTCATTAACTGTAAACTTAAAATTTTCCCTTTCTTAGTCAATCATAGTTTCTAGTCTCATTATCTTCATTCTCATTTCTTCTTTCTCCTTTTTGTAAAACTGTTAAATCTCTTCCACATATTCCTTTGAGTAATAATTTTCAATTGATCTATACTCATTTTATTCCTCGTTTGCATTAAGGTAATGAGCATTCAATTATGATGTTTAATGAGATATAACTGTATCTTTACCAATGCTTTCAATGCTGTCTTTCCTCATCAACTTTCTAAAAGCTTCATTCTAAAAAAGTGATTTTGACCCACTTTTTTTAATTATCGTTTCCTGGGTTTGATTATTACTGTTAACACTGGCAAAGTTGTATAGAGACTTATTTTCAGACAGAGGCTAGTTTAGATCACTTATTGAATTGTTGTTGTGATTGAAATTATTATCACTTCTCAGAGGTTGGTGTAAGCTTAGTTTAGAATAAGAATTTTCAATCGAATCATTTTCATCTTAAACTTAATTGAACTAGATCACATTTCTTTTATGCTAAGCCTTGTATGAAATTTGATGGACTGTATTATCACAATCATAGCAATATTTTATAGGATCATCTGAGCCACATGCTAAACAGTAGACTGCAGCTAAAGATTCTCGACATCTTTCACATTAATCAAAGATGGCTAAAGAGATAGGTAAATATAATTCTAAAATACATGTATTTGATTGAAACTTTTTCATTTTGAATTTAAAAATGGAAATTAAATTTTATGTTAAAAAAATAAATTTAGAGTTACTAAATCATTATTTAATTAGTGCAATTCTGTCTTTGATAATTATCACAATTTTACTCATTGAATTCTCTCTAGAATCTTGTCTAGCTTAAACTTTAGATACTTGACTTCTGGTCTAACGTTCTATGAATTTTCTTAAGGAACTTGTTTCTCAAGACTGAATAATACTTGCTTGCTATCACTTTATTGTACTGTGTCCTCTTTCTTTATTTCTTCAGTTTCTGGTGTTAAGCCACTCTTTGATTCTTCCATTAAACTCATATTTATCTTCTCTGTGTCCAATTTTTATTCAGATTATAGTAAAGACTTAGAGAATTCCAAATACTACATTTATCATTAGTTGCATTAAAAAATAAGTTACCTCATAAAAATCAATTTCTACTATGTTTTAGGCTCCCTATTTATCTAGATGTTCTCTTCTTAATCTCACGAATGAATTATGAGTCTAAGTATCATCGAAGTACCAATTCTTTTAGTTCAATAATATATAGAGTCTCTCATATTTTTTGGACTCTTTCGATAGATTTTTGCCTCCATATATTCTGTAGTTTTCAAAAAAGGAATTGAATTTAAGGCCTTATTCTTCAAGGAACTTCCCAACTTACCAGATGAACTACTTGTATTATTCTTCCTTGTTTACAGAGGTGATAAAATAATCAGGATCCTAAGATTTTAGAGCAGAGGGTACAACTATTGCAGACTTCATTCCATACTTTTTCAACTCTATTACAAAGTATGCATTCATCTGATGAATTAGATCAAGGGTGAATGATTTCATTAAAGTCTTTGACTCCTTTTTGAAATACTTTAGTTTATTGTTGAGTATATCGATTAATTTCTTCCAAAGTATTTGGCTATCCTGCTTAGTATCAGTATCCTAACTAGACTAGAAAACCATAAATGACCACATAAGTTTAGTGATGCATTCAATTTGATCGTGCTGGAATTTATCTCTCATCTCAATAAGCTATTCTTCCTTTCCAAGCTCCTTATTAAGTGCTTCTATATTCTATATACTACTTTCATAATCATCTAAATCACTCTTGGCATCAGCAATATATTTCAGCTGTTTTTCTGTGAAAAAACCTAATTGAGCTGGCTCATAGTCTTATTCCTTTTGGATAAATGCTTCACTATAGGAGGCACACAATTTATGGACTGTCTTGTAGATGTAACTTTAATCGATGTCAGCTAGAGCAAACCAAAATACCATTTGAGTCTTGTTTTTAAAGTTAAACTCTTCAATATCTCTATTGAACTTAATGGCAAGCATTTCGTAATAGGCTTTAGTTCCTATTTAAAATTGAAGGAATCTGGGAATTATCTGATTCATATGAACCTTAGGGACTATTAGATTGATGTTTTTAATTATAGCTTTGGCTATAACTTTGACTTCATCATGTACATCTAATGAGAATTCCTTTCTCTGTAGATATTTAGGATTAAACATTGAGAGTAACTAGGTCTAGCTATAAATAGTTGTTTCCTCTTGATACATAGAAACATAGGAAATAATTTGCTTCAAAAAAAGCTAATTGCCTCTTTGCAATCTGATATAGTATGCAGCAATCAAATTAAGTTGATCTGGTGAGAATTCTTGCAATTTACTTATTATCCATGGCTCCAAATAATAGAGAGTTTCAGAATGCGGAACTAAATGCCTAAAAGATTAATTACAATTGAAATTCTTACAGAGGTCCAAATCCGCTTAAAATGTTATAAATATCTCTAGGCTGTAGCTATGATAACCCGTCAGGAATATTCAACAGAGTATCGCACAAATGATGAGCATTTTTTGTTATTTTCTAAATTAATGATCAAACCATAATGTAAATAAACTTACCTTAATAGTTAGATCAAATAATTTTGGATTTGCATTATAGTAGATAAGTTTAGATATATTATGTGGAGATAGTGCTGCAAGGTACTAATTATCCTCTAAAATCAAGTGAAAAGCTCTTTTGATATTGGTTGGGAGAGATAGGTTGAATCTAGTTTGAGTTGAAATAGGAATTACATTGTCAAGTATCTTAATGAAAGAATTGAATGTGTCGGTGTGTTTCTTGATCTTCATGTTCTTGTCCAACTCTCTGCCCAAATGACGTGAATAGTCATCCAAAAGGACTTTATATTAAGGAGATTCTGCAATTTTAAATTGCTCTTTATTCTTGTTTCTAGAATACTTAGCAAGCTTTTGAAAAATTATCTCGTAAGACTAATTTTCAAATATATTTCTATTTGCTTCAAAAAAGTTCAGTAAGTCCTTAACAGTTGTGAAGCCTTAATTGAGCTTGAACATTAAATCTTGATGATCTTTTGGCTGCATTTTCTTAAGTGGAACACCTATAAGTGAATAATATGTAAGACTATTATACCATAAAATTCTTAATTGAAAGCTGCATCTTTGATGCCCCTTGGCTTTTCTTTTGGCTTTTCATCTTCTTACTATTCTGGCTATTTTTAAATAATTCTCTTTGACCCTCTTTCGATTGTTGAATATTATCTTTGAGAGATAAGCTAACTTGGAGATAGAAACTTAGACAAGGTGAAAATTTTAGTTCTGCTAAATTTGATGATCATTTTATAATTTAATAATTAATTACAGCCCTACAATTTATTATTATTGTTTACTTATGGGGTTTTGGGGTTTTGGGGTTTTGGGGTTTTGGGG